TGCTGGGGGCACCTTTCTGGGAGCTCCCTCCTGACCCCCCCCCCACTTGCCTTCCCTGCCCCCTCGCTGCAGGGCGCCCCCCAGAGCTGGGCGCAGCACCCAGAGCTGCCCCCCAGCTCTATACAGAGGTGCCCCCCCAGCTCCTGCCCAACATGCCCCACTTACACCGCAAGGGGCATCAGCCCCCGTCCCACTCCGAGCCCCCCACACTCCCAAAGCCCCCATCAGCTGCCCCCAGGGCTCCCAGCCCCTCTCCAAGTCCAGGAAGTTCAGAAACAGCCTCCCGAGGGGAGCAGGGGGCGTGAGCCATGGCAGGGAGGCCAGGCACCGAGGGGCCTGCGATGGTGCATGACCCATGGCAACAGCTGGGGGCAAACACCCCCCGGCTTGGGACAGGGCACTAAGTGGGGGGCGGGGGCTCAGAGTTACTGCAGAGAATCCTTCCCAAGGGCTGGCTAGGGGGTCTCGGCCCCACGCTCGGGGCTCACTGACCTCCACATGTGGGGTGGGGGGTGGGAAAGGGACTTTCCTGCATCAGATGGGCAGAGACGCTGGGGGGTTCGTCACCCTCAGCAGCCAGGGCCCTGGAGTAATTGGGGGGACTCTGTGACCCTACATCTGTACTTCAGGGCTCAGGGGTTTGGTGACTCAGCCCCAGGGGCTGGGCCTGTCAAGGGGCTGTCACTGGGGGGGGTGAGGGGCTGGGGCCAGACAAGATGATCAGGATGGTCCCTTCTGGCCTGGAAGTTCTGAGTTTATTCTCCACCCCAGCCCCATTTCCTTCTGACACCCCCCAACCCTCCTCAGCTCCCCCAGCCGCTTTCTGAACCCCGGGACACCCCACGGCTGCCCCCCTGGTCCCCAGCCCCTCTCCAAGCCCCCGGGATGCCCTGCGGCTGCCCCGATACCTGGCGCGGGTGCCCATCCAGGCAGGGGCTGCGGTAAATGGCTCGTAGCGGCGCCAAGATCTCGGTGCCCCCCATGTTGGCCTGGAGCTGCTGGACGTGGTGCAGGGACTCGGCCATGGTCTGTTGGGTGTATCCCACGCTCTGCCTGTGGGAGGGCGCCGAGGGGTCAGGGGCCGGGACAGCTGGAGCCAGGGACACCCTGTCCCTAGCCAGCCCTGCCCCCAACCCAAAAACATCCTGACCCCAGCCACCCCCACCGCCTGCCAGCCCTGCCCCCAACCCACAGACACCCCGACCCCAGCCTGCCCTAATCCCTAACCCAGCCAGCAACATGCCCCGCCCCGGACTCACGGGTAGAAGGACTCGAACCAAGACCCAAAGCTGTAGATGTTGAAATAACAGCCCAGGGGCAAACTCTTCAACAGCAGGACCAGGGTCTCCTGGGGACAGACAAATGGAAGGAGTCACCGCCCGTGTCCAGCCAGCCTGAGCTGCTCCCCCACTCAGCTCTGTCCCCCCCAGGCCCAGCCAACCTGAGCTGCTCCCCTCCACAGGCCCATCTAGTGTGGCCTCCCGCCTGGCCGTACCTTGGCGCTGTCAATGCGCTGGCGGGAGTGGTCTAGTCTGTCCATGGGGCACGCCATGCTGCTGGAGCGGTCCAGCAGGAAGATGAACTCCCCGGCCGAGCTCTGGCCTGGCACTACCTCGGGCAGGCTGGGCAGCAGGGTCACCATCACGGCTGGGTCGCCCATCAGGGAGCCTAAGGGGAGATGGGGCCAGTCCCAAATGGGGGGGGCATGGGGACAAGCCCTGTGAGCCTGCGAGAGCTCCCAGGCCCCCCTGACTGCCCCAGAGCCCCACCCATGGCCCTTCCCCCTCCCCCATGCTACCCTCCCCATAGATCCCCCACCACCCCCAGCCCCAGCCCCCTCAGTGCCCCCCGACTGCCCCAGAGCCCCACCCCCACCCCTCTGTCCCTCCCCCCACACCACCCTCTCCCCAGATCCCCAACCACCCCCAGCCCCCCGCAACCCCATCTTCCCCTGAGTACCTCCCCCACTCCTCTGTCCTTCCCCTGCCCTCCCCTTACGTCCCTCACCACCACCAGCCCCTGCCCTCCCAAACCTGCAGTGAGCCCCAGTGTCCACCTGTTGACACCCCACCTTCCCACCTCCAGCTCCGCTGAGACCCCCCCCAATCCCGTCCCCCAACCCTCGCTTGCCCTGATTCCCCCAGCACTGCTCTGAGAACCTAGCCCTAGCACCCCCCATTCCCCTACTATCCCCCTTATTGCCCCATGCCCCCCGATCCCACATCACAGCCCAGCACACTCCTACCCCACCCCATAGACGCCCCCCTGCCCAGGGGCAGCAGGGTGCAGGGGCCCTCACCTGGCTCCACTCCGGGCAGTCCAGCCTCCAGCACCGCGCTGGGTTTGTGCGGCTCCGCGTAATACACCAGCAGCTCCACGTCCCGGTCCCACGGGGGGGCCTCGGATAGTGACATCTGGGGCGCGACAGACACCGTCACCTCCCCTTGGCTCCTGGGGGACTTGGCTCTTCCTGGAGCAAACACTGCAAACTTCTCACTTTTGTTTGGCTAAATCTTTCCAATTTGGGGGTCACATTTTCCCGCCACGCCCCCCATTTTCTCCCATTGAAAATCAAGGAGCGGGAAACTCTCAGAAAGTGAAGAGAACCAAGGGCCCATCGAACGCCCGGGATTTCACCCCCACGGGCTGGTCTCAGCCCCACAAGTTCTTCCCCAGAGAACTCGGGCAATTGACCCACACACACACCTTCTGGGACCAACCCCAACTGCCCTGCCCCAGAGCTCCCACCCCCCTGCATACCGCTCCCAGGAGCCACAGCCAGATGGTCCCCTGGAACCTGCCCCGGCCCAAATCCCCCAGCACCTCCCCCACACTGACCCTCCCAGCGGGGATGACTGGGACCCAGGTGTCCGGGTGAGCCCTTACCTGGGCGGTGGTCCGGTTCCCGGCCGTATAGCTCAGGGGGCTGAGGGGGCAGTTGGAGAGCATGCGGTCGATGCCGTGGGGTGACTGCAGCGTGACGCTCAGGTTCAGGGTGTAGGGCAGCTCCCCCTGGGGGACTTGCGGGACCCCCTGGGTGACGTCCTCCCCGTCCCACCCTGCAGAGAGACATGGGGTGTGGGCTGAGAGAGCGGGAGGGTCCTGGGGGCTGGCATAGCAGGGGAAGATGGGGGTATGGGATATTGGGAGGCATGGGGGGATATCGGGGAGCACCTGAGGGGCTGGCATAGTGCAGGATTTGGGGGTGGCTGGGGGGGGTCACATACCCTGGAGCAGGGATTGTGGGGCTGGGGGGGGCACTTACTGTGGGACACATAGTAGTGGCCTAGGGGGTGTTATGGGGCTGAGGGTCCATGTGGGATACGTAGCAGGGGCTACGTCACAGGCGGGGACACAGGGGGGGATCTGTGGGTCTCACCATGGGGTGTGTAGCGGGGGCGCAGCATGGCTGGCAGCATGTAGCGGGAGGCTCCATCGGGCTCCAGCGGCAGCTCGCAGACGTAGCGCAGGGTCAGCGCCGCCTCCTCCCCGGGGGGCAGGTTACCCAGGGAGCAGCTGAAAACGTCGCCCCCGGTCCCCTCCTGCTGCAGCAGGAACGAGCTCTGGCCCCCAGCCAGCGCGTCCCCGTACAGCTCCTGCGCCTGCCAGAGAGACAGGGTCACCCTGAGATCCCACTGTCCCCAACAGCCTCCTACCCCAGACAGTGCCCTGCCCTGCCCCCCGGCCAGCACGTTCCCATACAGCTCCTGGGCCTGCCTGATAGACAGGGTCACCCCAAGATCCCCCTGTCCCCTGACATCCCCCTGCCCTAACCCCCAGCCAGTGCATCCCCGTACAGGTTACTCCTGGGGGAATTCTATACCACTGCTCAAGCGCAGAATTCATGTCTGGTGCAGAATTCTTTTCCGCCACAGAAAATACATTCTGGCCCAGAAGTGCTGCAGTTATCCAACTCTCCCAAGCACTGCTTCTCACAGGTTCAGGAAATACAGTTCTGTATTGAAATTTAAATGAATTATTACTCAAAGTTCTGTATGAATATGCCTAGTTACACACACCATTGCTGACAGGTATTTTGAAATAAATTACCAAAATAATTGAAACTGACGTGATTATATTGTGTTATTTTGACAAATAAAATATGCAGAATTTTGTAGAATTTTAAAATATTGTGCACTGAATTTTTTATTTTTTGGCACAGAATTCCCCCAGGACTAACAGGTCCTGCGCCTGCCGGAGATATGGGGTCACCCCAAGATCCCCCTGCTCCCCAAAAATCCCCTTTCCCCCATCCCGCACGTCCCCATACAGCTCCTGCGCTTGCCAGGGGAGACGGGGTCACCTCAAGATCCCCCTGCTCCCCAAAATCCCCCTGCCCTTCGAGATCCTCCTGCCCCCTGTGTCACTGACTGGCCAGCTCAGACCAGAGTCTCTGTAGAACTTGCTTGGGTGTGAATGTCAGAGAAGGAAGGTACTGGCTCACTCATACAGGAGAACAGTTCACAGCAACCCGATGGTTTTGTTTTACCAATGTGTTTCCTGGGACTGCCCTCCCTGTTCTCAGCCTCAGATCTAAAGACTGTTTGGGTGCCAAGAAGAGGAGATGTCTGATGTGCAAACTGCACGGAATCGAAGGAACTAAACCCATCCTGTGTCACTGCCCAGCCCCCGGGCCTGGAGCCTGGGAACTGCACACAAAGAAACATGCTCACGTCACAGCATGGGTTGACCATGGAAAACCTCCAGAGCCAGGCTGTGATGGGCACACTCGCCGGACGGCCCTGCGGGCAATGAGCCCTAAGCTGGACTCCGGGGAGCGATCCTGTATCTCTGCCCGGACGGCTTCTGCCAGGGGAATCCCGAGCAACGGGGCAGAGATCCCCAGAGCCCTTCTAGGGAACCCGGAGAGCCTTAGGGGACCACTGGCAAATCCCTCCGCCTCTGCTCTCACTTGCTCTGCAAACCGTGACTCACCTGGCCCGTATTTTACCTGCTTGAACCTCTCCACAGCTTATTTCTTCTTCTTGGCTAACAAACCTTTAGTCGTTTGCTAGAGAACGTGGCTGCAGCGCTGTCTTTGGGGAGAGCCGGAGCGCCCATGGACCGGGGGGAGTGACCCACCCTTTGAGTTTGGAAGAAACCTGACGGGAGGTGATCTGGGCTTTTACTACCCTCCCCTCCCAACGTCCAGCCTGGCCTAGGGGTGGAGGGGCTGGAGAGGGGGCTGGCCGGGGCTCCGTAGGGAGCCAGGAGCTCACGTTGGGCGCTGGCCACATGAAACCCCAGGATAGAGACATCCAGCAGTTAGGGGCGTCTGTCCTGTTTTCTGATACTCGGCCCCGAGACTGGCACTCTCACTTGTGAGCCGCTCCAGACAGCGGGACACCCCGACATCCCCCTCCCCTGCCCCCGTACAGCTCCTGTGGGGAGAGACGGGATCACCCTGACATCCCCCTGTCCTGCCCCCCATACAGCTCCAGCAGGGAGAGATGGGGTCACACCGACGTCCCCCACCTCCCGACAGCCCCCTGCCCGCGAATCCCCATACAGCTCCTGTGCCTGCTGGAGAGATGGGTCACCCCAAGATCCCCCCCAGTCCCACCCATAACCCACCTCTCTACCCCCGGGACCCATGCCCCCCAGTACCTGTTTCTTCTCGCAGAGCTGGGCCTGGATGCAGGTGCCCCCCAGGCGGGCCTGGAAGGCGTAGACGGCCACCTCGGCATCCACAGGGAACACGAACACGGCCTCCACGGGCCCCGGCTCCTCATTCCTGTAGAGCAGCTCGCAGCCCACGTCCGCAACAAAGCCTCGGATCAGCACCGTCACCGAGCCACTGCGCAGGGGCACTGGGGGGAACAGGGTCATCAGCCAGGGGGCCCCCCATGGGTGCTGGGGGAGGGGGGTGTCAGCTATGGGACCCCACAGACCCCCATCGGCGCCGGAGGAGGGGGGTGTCATCTACGGGCCCCCCACATACCCCATGGGCACTGGGGGAGGGGGACTTCAGCCACGGCCCCCCACACACACACCCATGTTCACCGGGGGAGGGGCCATGTCAGCCATGGGGCCACCCTCCCCCTTGCAGCCCCAATTCCCGACCCCCAGCCCTGACTCACCTGGCTTGTTGAAGCCGGTCAGTAGGCCGCACTGCGTCATCTCAGGTCCGGGATCGGGGGATCTGTGCAGGGGAAGGGGGGTGAGATACGGGGTTCCTATAAAAACTGACAGGTACAGGGTGCCCCACCACCAGCAATGGCTCCGAGACTCCAGCCCCACCTCCCTGCTCAGCCAAGTCCTGTGGCAGAGAGTCCCACAGGCTTACAGGGCCTAGCTCAGAGATCACAGTGATGGCTCCTCTCCGGGCCTCCCTCCCCGCACACGGTGCCAGCCAGCAATGGAGGATGTGTGGAGAAATGTAGAGGGCGGTGTATAGGGATGTATGGACGGACAGACAGATGGAAGGAGGGAAGTGGGGATGGACAGAGCACATGGGGGGCTGAGGATGGATGGACAGACAGAAGGAAGGGTGGGGGTTCGGACAGAGCGCAGGGAAGGAGCTGGTGGTTAGAGTGGGGGGAGGCTGGGAACCAGGACTCCTGGGTTCTATCCCTAGCTCTGGGCAGGGAGTGGGGACTAGTGGGTTAAGCCGGGGGGGGCATGGAGCCAGGACTCCTGGGTTCTATCCCCAGCCCCTGGGGGGGGGGCCTGGAGCAGTGCCGAGCTGCAGGGAACCCAGGTGGGTCACTGGGGGGTTGTTCACCCAGCTAGGGTGTCACCCTGCAGAGAACAGAAGAGGTTTGCAGAGTGGCGTTCCAAGTGGGGGGTGCTGCTATTTACCTTCACCTGGGGCCGCCATGAACCCCCCGCCCTGAGACTGCAAAGTCCAGCCCTGGCCACAGCTGGGGGCTCCTGCTCCCTGCCACAGAACCGGCCGGCCTGAGCCTGGTGGGAGTGAAAGGCCGGCAGAGGGCTGGGTTCTCCAGCAGCAGGAACCTGGCTCTGAGCCCATGGGGAGTCTCCATTGAGGAGCAGGGATCTAAGGGTGCAGGGCGGGGGTGAGGAACGCCAGAGCTGCCATGACCAAGAGGGGCTCCAGAGACCTAAGTTCCCTCTAAGCTGCACGGCCGTGCAGCTGGCTACCGAGGGCCGCGCAGGAGCTGCCACAGAGAGGTGCCTCTCCCTTGGCCCGGTCCTGAGCTGCTGCAGGGAGAGAGGGCTGGGGGGAGACCTCTCTCCCCAGGGCAGTCTGTACCCCAAACCCCTCATCCCCGGTCCCACCCCGGAACCCACACCCCCAGCCGGGGCCCTCATCTCATCCCACACCTCAACCCTCTGCCCCAACTCTGAGCCCCCTCCATCACCCAAACTCCTCATCCCCGGCCCCACCCCAGAGCCTGCACCCCCAGCCAGAGCCCACACCTCAACCCTCTGCCCCAGCCCTGAGCCCCCTCCCACACTCCGAACCCCTGGGCCCCTCCCCCACCACACATCACCTCCATATTGCTGCACATATCAAAATTCATTCTGCACATACATGTAAAAAATTAGAGGGAACATTGCTCCAGACCCCACTCTCGGGGCCCCATGTTACCTCGCCGCCGCTGGGCCAGCTGGAGAATTCCCAGATCCGAGGTCGGACGGGAATGTTGGGATCACCCAGGTAACCTGCATTCCCAGCAGCGCCTGGAATGAACTCCTGGGGAAACTGAAGCCCAACCCCCACCATCCCGCATCAAACGCTGGCCGTAATGGAGGATCCACCACACAGCCCCGGGTGAGCTGTGCCAATGGCTAGTTACCCACACCCAGAAATATGTGCCTTCCCTCCAGTGCAATCTCATTTGCCTGCCACCCCTATCCCCGGGCCGGTGCCAGAGCAGGGCCTGCTACCTGCCGCAACCCAACGGAGCAGGTATTCATAGCCAGGAGCCTCTTCGCCTGCTCCAGGGTAAGCACCACAGACCAGGAAATGGCGGAGGCCCCGGGAAAGGCTCTGGCAGGGAAGGGAGGCTGGTTCTTTGTCCCTGGGATTTAACTCTGATGCCGAATTCCCAGGCCGGAGAAAGTGAGTCAGCGTGAAAGCTACAGCAATTCACTGACTGCGACTCTCGCTGCTGCAGCTGCTTCTGGCAGAGCACCCGAGGCTGAGTCACTCTGCCGGGGGGTGAGGTCAGAGCGGGGAACAGGCCCCCAACAGCCCCCAGAGCCCGTGGGGAGCAGGACAGACCTGGCCGGGTGCCACGGGGATGGGCACCCGGAGATCCATGCAGGGAGAATTCCGTAAAGGAACAAAAAGGTGGGAGGATGGGTTGGAACCAGGAAGGTTTAGGGGTCACCTCCGTCCAACCCCCCCCCCAACCTGCCCCAGCACACAGGGTCCTCACTTCCAGGGACGGGAGACTCTGCAGGGGCAAAGCCCCAAGTCCGGGGGCTGGGGGTGAGGGGGGACCCCGGGACACAGGAGGGAGGCAGTTCCCAGAGAAAGGGGGCCCGTGGACCCAGAGAGGATGAAGGGGACCTTGGACCCATGGGGCAGGACCAGGGCGGTCCATGGACCACAGGAGGGGGTGCTCTGGGGGACCCGATCCGCACCTCTGGTACCTTCTCTCTCGGTCCCGGGTAGCGAAGCCTTGAGTCAGCTGGAAGGGAAACTAGCTCCGCCCCCCGCCGGGGAGCGTCTGCAAACTCCCCACTCTCAGCTACTGCAAACCAGGGGCCGTCTGCAAAGTCCCTCCCCCGGCGGGAGCCAGAGACCATCTGCAAATCCTTCACCACACACCGCCCGCCATATGCCGGTGCAGTGGCGCTCAGCCTTTCCAGACCGCTGTACCCCCTTTCAGGAGTCTGGTGTGTCTGGCGTACCCCCAGATTTCACCTCACTTAAAAACCACTTGCTTGCAAAATCAGACATTAAAATGCAAACGTGCCCCAGCACACTGTGACTCCGCAATGGCTGCCCTGTTCCCTTTTCCCAGACAATTAGAAAATCAATAGATCGGAATATAAATCTCGTATGGACATTTCAGTGTACAGTGTACAGAGCAGTATAAACAAGGCATTGGCTGTATGAAATGTTCGTTTGTACCGACTTCGCTGGTGCTTTTTATGTCGCCTGTTGTAAAATTAGGCAAATCTCTAGATGAGTTGAGGTATCC